GAAAGAAGGCTTCTTTGGGAAAGGTAAGGTCTGTCCTCAAGACACCAAGCAATGATTCTTGAAAAATGCAGGTGCTGAATGCCTACCCCTTTCAGGCTCAGTACCTTTCATCTCCCCATGCAAGTCATGTAAAGTGTGTATGCCTTGTTTGGTTCACTTGCCTAGCAGCAGCAGCCGTGTGAATAACAGGCTCAGGTCTAGCAGTGTTTGTCATTCCAGCTGCACATAGCCTCACTTACTATAGATCTCATGGCCCTTTGAGCCCACATGCTATTAAACACCTTGCCTTGGCTTTTATAAATGGTGTGCAGAAAAGAGGGAGAGATTATGATACCTCTGCTGCTGATTGCGTTGTTATTGTGGGTCATTAATCTCTGCATGGCTTTGAGCCTTCCAAATGAGCACTCTGCACCTGCCACAGCTGTAGCTGCATCGCTGCATCTGCGGGGTCCAGGCCTGGCTTTGTGACCCCCACGAGGAGGAGAAAAGTGGGACTCCTGGCAAGAATAGGGTCCGTTAATGTGCTTGTCCACCTGTGGGCATTTAGCTGCCTGGTAGTTGTCCAAGGTAACCAGTTTCCACAGAATGATTTATCAAGATGAGCTGTTGGGTTTTTCAGCTGGGGCAATCACCACTGATTTTCCTACTATGAGACACACTGTCAGTCTGGGACTTGCATGTTGAGGATAGCATCTGATCCAGACGTACAGGAAAATCTCCTCTACCTGAGTTGGGTGGCTACATAAGCTCTGCTGTAGCTGCTGGCAGGTGGCAGCTTGGTCCTAGCAGCAGGTACCAAAGGGCCAAGTGGTCTCTGGAGCTCTGTTGCCGCTGAACTCCATGGAGTGGGTTACTCGGTAACTTGGGAAGCAGCCAAAGGCATCTTGTAGACTTTACACAGATTGTAGAGAGCTGAAGACGTTGCTGGCTCTTTGGTGCATGAGATTTTTGGTTATGACAACTCCCAGGTTTCTGCAGAACATACCCGATCCTTGCTGGAGTGCAGTCTTTCTCCACAGTCTCCATCTGGACAAAGCCACAGAGACAAGTTAGTGTGCTTCTCAGTGCACCCCTTTATTTATCCAGGACATTCTGCCAGGATGTGACAGCCTGGCTGACTTTCACACAAGGCATGCCTGTGCAGAGAAATACTCAGAGGATGGTCTTCCTGCGGTGTCTGAGCCAGGTAGTTCACATGGGAGATGGGTAGGGCAGGGCTGATGGAAATACATCCGCAGCCTAGCCAGATTGACAAGGGAACAAAGAGTTGATCAAAGGAAGGTGGTTTGTTGGAGCAAATGCAAATTTGAGCCAATAACCTTTTTCAGTAGCTTCTTCTGTGTTCTAATATTTTTACTGTCCTTTAGTTCACTTGTATGTTTTAATTTTTATATTTTTTTCATTTTTTTAAATGGAACAACTCATTAATTTTGAAGAGTTGAAGTAGTACTTATTCAGTTTCTCTGCTACTTTAACACCAGACTTGTTCTTCCTACACTCCCACATAATGTGTTGTTTTTTTTTTTTCTCCTATAGAGAGACTGCCTGAGTGTTTGTGCCAGGTCCAAATGTAAAATCAATAAAAGCTTATTGCTGTACATGTCACTGTATTAGAGCTCAGCAAGCAAGCGCCTAGTGGGCAGGAGCTTGCTTCTAGCCTGTTTTCAGACAGCCACCACTCTCCTTGGATTTGGGGCCAGCATCCCATAGCACAAAAGGAAAAATTTATGTTCTGCTGGTGCTGAGCTGCAACAGCATTAACATTGCTTTAAAATTTCAGTGCTTTATTATCCACTCACAATCCTAATTTTTCTTCTTTCCTTCTGAAAATCAAACATCAGACTTTGGAAATCTCTTCTGTAGTGATTTGACTCGTTGATCATAATAAGGCTGGATATCTAAACAGATCATTTGTTATTATTACGAGTATGTTTGATGCCCCTTAATGGCTCCTTAGTACTGGCTGCTGTTTTGCTTGGTTATTTTTTTCTCTGTTAGCTTTCCAGTTTCTTTTCAGAAAAGTAATGAAAAATAGAGACTTGCTCATGTTTGGATTTATTTCCCTTCTTTAATTCCACATACTTTATTTCTGAGTCATGCATTTCTCCTAAGAGATGAATTTTGAAGGTTGTGAACTTTGCAGCTTACTGGGAAATCCTCTTCCCTAGCTGACAGAGCCAGGATTTATTATCTTTCCTGCAGTTCTTTCTGGAAAGAGAAAATAAATATATTTGGTGGAGAAACTGGTTCTGGGCAATGAGAAAAGGAAGCTTAAAAATAAAAACAGACATAGAAGGCACTGTAGCATCAAGGCTGTATTTTATGTTAAATAGTCTTCTGTCTTTTATTTCATTTCTAAATGCCCCGAATGCAAATGGAGTTTTTTGTTCAAGGAGGCTTCTGCATTTGGAGTCTGGGTTTTGACATGTGGGGCATTCTTCCCCCAAAATAGGCCAGAAACACCAGCTTCAGCGTCAAACACATACACTGCCTGAAGCATTCCCCATGACCAGCATTTCAGAATCCTGCTGCCCTAGCTCAAAATCGGTGGGAATAACGCGTTGCCTAGAAAATGGTGCGTAAAGGATGAATGTCAATTACAAGACTGAAGTTGAATAAATAGAGTAGAGGGAGGTGGGTTTTTATGGCACCATCTGCTTCCATGGTCTGGAGTCGCAATGTAAAATCATGGCTCAAGCTCTCTGCTGCAGGTTAACAAAAGCCTTTAAATAGGGTAACTAATGGGTCAAATGTATCTTCGCGTGTAAGGTTAAGACCCACAAGACGTCGTTTGTAAGAAGGTGGGGGGTGGATTGGTCACTGGAGAGGAAAGACATTAAATTAAATGTGGTGAAGCAGCCACATGGGACCCCTTGATAGTTTGAGTATTTTTTTTTTCTTAATGAAATGCAAGTTAATGCAATCCCACCCTCCTGGCCTGACAAACATCAGCTCTGGCCTTTTGAAGGTTGTCATGTCACCACTGCCTTATAAATGATTCTGTGCACCTTCCACTCTCTGCTGCTTTCTTGTCACTTCCAGCCCCTAGTTTTTGACGTAAACAAGGGAGTATGTCAGTGGGAAGCTGGGACTGTCAGGCCTTTCAGTTTTGCTTCTCACCTCGTTGCTTTCTTACAACAACAACAACAACAAAAAAAACAACAAGATATGTTTGAGGGGGGGTTGTAAAGAAACTCGGTGGTGCATTAAAACCAGGCAGCAAGAGTCGGGGGGGTGGAGGAGAGGAAACAACTGTGGGATATAAAATATGAATGGGGATCTAAGCCTCTGGAGTTCATGCTCAAATAGTGTTGTACAAGGTGGACCCAAGTGAGCCTAGGCCCCAGGTTCATCTGCTGGTCAGGACTCGGAGCATTGCTTTTTGGGGAGAAGTAAGAGGAACTGGGTCAAATGCAGGGCAACAGGTTCATTTCAAGAGCCGTTTTAGGAATGCCAACAGAACGTGTCTTTTTAGCAAGACCAAAAGCCACAGCCCCTCTTAAAGGTTACAAGAGTGCATTTAAACATAGCCAAAGAAACACTGCTGCCGACCATTGCTCATCACCAGCAGCACCTTGCAGATGAAATACTTTGCCTCTTTCTCCTGTAACTGCTCGTTGCTGTTTTCCATTAGGACTGGGTTTTAGCAGTGTGTTTCTTCGATCTCCCCTGAAAGATTTTGTCCTTCACCCCTTCTGGCTTTTCTGTGCAAGAGCTGTCATTTTGAAGAGCACCGAAGACAAGGCAGGAGAGCCTAGAGATAAATAGGATCAGAGTCCTGCACACAGCTCATCCCAGAACCTGCCAGCCATATGGGGGATACTTACGTGATTGTTCTAATGCTTCCAGGTCTCATAGCCATTTAAATGGCTGCAAAATATGTTTCTGCAAGTTAGCTTTTCCTGGAGTTAGCCTTCAGCTCATGTTACCTATGTACTTGGTGATGCTGTTCCTTGTTTTGCCTGAGCCAGTGCCTAAAAGATCCAAGCACACACATCTTGTCTTGTCTTTCTTCACACGAGCAGAGTGTGCACTTCTGCATTCTCACCGCTATTTCCAGCCTCAGTGGCAGTGTTAGGTGGAGCCATTGCTCAGCTTCAGGAGCCTGCCTATAGCTGGCAGAGGAGGCACTGATTCCCTTGGCCAAAAGCAATCTCAATCAAATTTGTGTATAGGATAAAGCAATGTCTGGTGTAAGGTCTGACCAGGCAAGGAGTGAGGGGAGAGGGTGATCCACCATGGTTTGCTTGCTGTGACTGAGGCTCACCAGATGTCTGCAGCATGGAGCTTGTTGGGTTTTTCCTTTCTCTCAGTTAATTTCACTAAACAATTGCTGTTTTGAGGTGAAATGTTTTTTGGTTCTCTTTGACATCTTTGTAGGTATGAAAAAACTTGGGCTTCCTTTTAGAAGTATGCTGGGAGAAAACAATATCAGATAGTGCTACTGAGACAGGAGCTGGTCTCAGCAGGACCATGAGGGAAGCTGGGTGGAAGTGAGAAGCGACAGGAGAAGAGTAGTAGGTGACAACATAGTCCGAAAGAGCTTTCATTATCGCGTAAGTATGTGTAGAAGGAAGTCAGAGAAACTGTCATTTCAAACTAAATGTGTATGGAAATGAATGTAATTGAAGTGTCCCACCACATCAGGATCCACTGTGCTCCTTGTGCTATCGTTCTCCTGATTTACTTTGTATTAACCATGCATATGCAAAAATGCATGAATTTACATAGGTGAGTCTCCTATTAATTATAAATTAATGGTTATTAACAGTGATAAGGATAGCCCAACGAAGCCTGAAAAGATGAGTGCTGTAGCAGTGAAACCAGAGAGCACTTCCAAACCTAAGGAAATGGATTGTGAGATTTGAAATGGCTCTCCTGCGTGGTTCAGTTATTGCTCTCTTGTAATTCTTCAGAGAATTGCTCAAAGTTTTCCCTTCCTTAAGGGCTGTGCTAATCAACATAATCTGCTTTATGCAAGAGGACTGGTAGTCTAATTGATGTGTCCATGTAAAAGAGAACTCTGAGAGTGGAACAGAATTTTGTACCCTAGTTGGCATCTCAACAAAGAGGCATGAGAGTGACTGGGCGTGAAATCCGAATTACCTTTATAGCCTGTGATGGTGGTTCTCTCAGGGCAGGGCCGTGCAACAGTGGGGCATGCTCACAGCAGTGAACTTAGTGCTTCTTGAGGCAGAAAAGCTGTCGAATCTGGCACAGTTCCAAAATAAAAATCATCTGTGGAGGTACAGAGAATGCTGTAGTCCAGCAGAATTCAAATTCATTGTAATGCTCATCAGAAAGTTAAATATCACTTCTTGAAAGGACTCGGCATCCACTGCCATGAAAAGATGTGTGTCAGTAACCAAACAGTTGTACCGTCCAGTGCAGGTACGTAGCAAACCAGGCTGTTACTGTGCAGCAGTATCTGCCTGTGGAGTTCCTGCTCCTGGGCACCTGTCAGAGGAGCAGGATCGGTTTGGAGCTTTCTGTAAAGGTGGATCCCGAGGGGCAGCGCCTTCCCTTGCTGCTTCTAACAGGGCTTTTGTCTCTTCTCCCACCTGCAAGAGTCCTCAAAGCAGCTTCAAAACGTGCCTTTGCATATCCCACCAGCAGACTCAGCTGTGTCCTGGGAAGATCCATCTCCGTATTTCTCCTTAGGGGAAGCTGCTTTGTTGACTGCATATCAAGCTACCAAGAGTTAGCTCTTGCTAGGGACAGTTAATAATAAACAGATGTCTCCAGAGAGGCCTTCAAAGCTAGGGACCCTCTGTTTGGTCCTGTTTCAGTGACTTAAAGGTGAAAGGCCAGGGAATTCATCACTTTAAGCGTCCTCCCTTAAGAAGGAGAATCTCATGGAATTAAATAACTGTACCCGCAAGGTTTTCAGATACTTAAAGCAGAATTTTCAATGAAAATTACCAGTCTACGTGCTCCCCTCATGCTGTAACCTGTTTAAAGCAGGTAAACGTCCTCCCGGTTCTGGTGAGGGAAGGCTATTGCAATGCCCTGCTTGCTTTCTTTCGTAGCAAAGGTGGAACCTGTAGGCCCAAATGTGCTCAGAACTGGGGTGAGTGCAAACCCCATCTTAAATCCATGAGCTTGTTTTAAAGCTAATCCATTTGTGCTTAATTTACAAACAGCTGGTTGATTTAAAGGGATTTTCATACTGGAGTAAACAAGAACATTTACACGACCAATAAAGTACCCTGCAGTAAATTCTCTTTGCAATTGTTGCAGCTATCTGTTTGCAGTAGATCTTAACTTCCGCAGTGCAAAGCTAATCCTTCTTGATCCTATAGTGAAGTCATGATCCCATGTTTGATGTCACCATCTGTTGTCATAAAAGCAACAGTGATGTTGCAAATTACACATTATAACTTCGTGGCAAGAAAAAAAAAATCACATCTGAACTACTTTCACAATCAGATGAAGAATATTTCCGTGAAGTATATGAAAACTATGCTATTTATATATTTTGTCTAAATACAGTTCTTGGAAAGTATGTGAACAGGGAGGGGCTGAATAACACACTGTGTGGAAGGAGAAGAAAGAATCACGAGGCTCAAATGCTTTTGTTATGTTTGTTGGTTTTTTTTAATAATAAAAAAAAAACACCTTTACAACTAATTGGTACATGGCAGGGACATCTGTCTGTTAAAAGGTTAGTATGACTGTTAACAAGACCAAAATATAAACAGTTTAAAATTCAGGCCCTGGCTGAGAGTTCCTGTGCTGGTTCGCACAGCTACCTCCTGGCTGTAAGGGGAAAGCTGTCATGATCTCACCTGACAGTATGCAAGAGCTGTCGAGAATGATGATTGATGTCACGTAAATATGCAGTCAAGGATTACAAAAGCCAGAACTAGAATATGATTTTTTTTTTTTTCCTGAAGCATTTAAATCGCTTAGGAAACTAAGCCTTAATCACAATTTTAGGTGTCTGACCCACTTTAAGAAAAATCTTCCTTTTCATAAATTAAAAGAATGTTTTCTGCCTCCCAGAGATCAGGATGTGGGGTTTTGTCTAAATGGCAAGGAAGCAAAGGCCTAATTTTGGCATTTTGGCAGTGAAGGTGGAGACTGGTAGTGATACAGATGCATCTGCACACATGCATGCGCAAAAGGCTGTGCGCTCCTGGTACCCCTTGCTCTCCTTCTACCAGCAGGAGGAGGTTTCAGGGGGTGTAAGGAAATATGCAAGAGGAGTTTCTTTTTCTCTTCCTTGTACAGAAATGAAGCAGATAAAATACAACTTCAAAAACAGGGAGAAGAGCCTCCTTGAGACCTAAATTAGGAATTGATTTGTAATTTGCTTCATACTTCCATCAATCACATCTTTAAGATTTCCTACCTGTTCCCCTCTTAAAAATATATACCAAATTTCAATATCTTATTTCTAACTCTGCAACTTTGAGCAACAGACTAAAACAGTACCACAGCACTCCAGAATAAAAATGCTTGTTGAAAATAACTTACCAATCGATGGCCCAGTGCAGCCTCATGGGGAAGGGGAAGGGTTCCCAGTGACGACCAAGGAGTATGCAGTGTTGCAGGCACCTGTTGGAGAAGTCCAGGCTTGAATCGTACAACACCGTAACCAGAGGCACTGCATGCCCCAAATGGTCCACATGCTCATCTTCACCTGCTTGCTCTTTGTCTGCATTTGAGGATGCTGGCTCAAAACAGATGCTTCCCAGACACATGCTGCTGAAGTTGAAAAAAAGAGGCAGTTTGTAGTGATCCCTCTGAGGACAGAGAATCTAATACGTGGGGTTTGTTTGCCTTTCTGTTGAGGAACTACCAGGCACCTTGGGAAGGAGCTAGGTTGTATCGTCCATCCTGTACAACTTCTGCAGGGTTGTTCCCTCACAGGTGTTTGTGATTATATTATTTATGTCACTGATTTCACTTCTGTGTGATAAGCATTCAACTCTGATGAGTTAAAGGCAGCTGAATTTACTTGACTCACTTCTTTAAGGAAAGGCACAAATTCTGGATTCTCATGCCATGTCTCTTCATCTCTGAATATCTCCTAGGGAAACAAAAGTAAAAAATAACATCCAGGGACCCCCAATGGAATTAGGTTCACTTTAAACATGACACATGCTCTATATCCCTGGGGCAGGCACTTAATTTTGTAGTGTTTCAGACTTCTATGACATGATGATTGATTTTGTAGAGGTGATATTGCCTCAGTCATTAGTTAAAAAGCCTGATAAAGCTGTGCAAAGATATTAGGTTGTTATCAATCATCAGTGTCTTTTTGTTCTCCCCCAACCTTTACCCCACACTTCAAAGAAGAGAGAGACAGGCAGGAGGCTCAGTCTCCCTTTCAGCCTGTCAGGGTTTTATTAGATCCTGGCTCCCCTGTCAGCCCTGCTGCTGACACCCAGGGCTGCACCAGCTGATTAATGGGAGCAGCATGCCCCACCAGGTTCCTGCTCTCCAGCCAGCAGCCCAAGTCACACAGCCCGGCCTCCTCTTGAGCTTGAGCCTCAGCATTGTTCTCGCTCCTTTTCCCACTCCTGCCCCCAGTTCCCTTGCTGGAAGATACAGGGGACTGGCCTCAGGACATCTCCGTGTCACTTGCCATTCACTAGGCCTTTTCCATGTCCCTATTTATGTCATCTCTGTGTCAGGGTGAAACAATTTTCTAGCTCAGTTGATTCCTTTTTCAGATTATAAGAATTGTATTCTGTGCCTAAGTCCATCATGGTTCCTATTCCGTGTTTGCTTTTCTATTCTTACTTCTTTTCCTAATATTTCGTGTCACTCTTTGCTTTTTTATGACAGCTGCTGAGCAATGAGCTACCATTTTTATTCTGCAGTCTGTTAGCTCCCAAGGTTTGGTTCTGAAGTGACCAATCTGTAGTCCACCACTGCCTATGTAAAAAGTTAGGATTACGTTATCCTATGTGCGTGATTCAATATTTTTCTAAGTTTCTTCTGTCCTTTTATTGCTCACATGCTTAGTGAGGTCTTCCAGAACTCTCTGAAATTCTCTGTCTTTCCCGTCTTGGTTTATCATCATCTGCAAACTTTGTGTCATTACTCACCTATTCTCATATTTCCTGGGACAGTTCCTGCATCCTTGTGCTGTTCTCTGTGTGCTCTTGTGTTGTGAAGGGGAATGACCGTTCTTATTTTTGTTACATGTGTTTAAGGGAGCTATCCTTCCACCCATACATCCACCAAATCTTCCTTTTTGAGGCAGATTTTTGTCTGAATCTGCAGTTTCCACTTTGAAAACATTGAGGTGCACCAAAAAGCAGGTGAGAAACAGAATCTGTGTATTAAGTTTCCCAACATGCAGGCAGAGCAAGGATCAGCTTCGCTGCTCAGATGGTCTCTGTACTAGAGAAGCTTTTCAAATGTGGAAGGCTTTACTAAGTGTGAAAACAAGTTTGATGAAGATGGAAAAAATATGTTGCTCCTACTGAAATTTTACATATTGCCTGTACTTTTTCTGCTGTGTTATCTGTCACATAAATCCATTTGCCCTGTAGGTAGATTGGATAATGCTTCTGGTATCAAGATATAATACTAAATTTAATTTACAAAGATTGGATAATGTTGTCCACTAAGGGTGTAATATCAGAGGAAATAGTTTTATTAGTTAAAATTAGTTAAAATTGTCAAGTTGTTTTTAAATTTCTGAATCAGTTTATAATTCTCTTGCTTTCATCACCAATATTTACATGTGTACTGGTTGGTTTTCTAGAGCTGTTCAGAAGTAGGGCTAATCAGTGGTTCATTGCTAAAAATAAGATTTAAAAGAAGCCAATGTTCGCTGGGGATTGAACTAATTTTCAAGCCTGATTTAAGCAAGCATGACATTATTTCACAGAGTAGCTTGGATAAACAGCTATTTGGAAATAGCTCATTTGAGTTATTTTCACTTTAGAATTGGTAGTGAGTGAGTAAGGAGATATTGTTGCGTTGTTCTAATAGCATAATGTAAATTTCTAGAAGTAGGAAATGAGCAACTGAGAATAATGAACATCCAGGTAATAAGGGGGATTCTTGTTCTTGCAGGAACACCCTTTCAGCTGTGGAGAAAGCAGCTGTGTCCTTAACATTTGCGGGGGGTCACTCGAAAGTTCATGAATAATAAGACATGAATACTATATGGAACAGCTGTTTGGTAAGAACTAATACGTAAAGCAGTGTTTTGAAGGGTTCACCTCTTTGTTCAAGGGCATGAAGTTTCTGGAAAAAAACACTAGCAATTAAAATTATAAAGCTCTGGTATACAACAACAAAGGCAAAAATTTGGAGAATGTTTGAGGGTGTTGATACTTAAATTAAGCACTCTCTACAAAAACCCATGGAGCATGCATGCCTGCATGCATGCACTACTGATTTCAATAGCACGTAGACCTCTATACAGACTCCTTTGACATTTTTAAAGCAAGGAGGAAGCTTTCTAAAACATCTGCAGTTTCTAGCTGATGGGATGCTACTCGGAGAAAAAGCACCAGCTATTTGCACAACAGATCGACAGCTGCATGTGTGAGAGGGAGCAGTAGCTGGCTCACATCGTAGCACTAGTAATGCCTAAGGGTCTAAATATGTTTAGGTAGCCCTAGCTGGGATGTATGGAATGATACAAAACTAAGTAATCAATGGGATTTAAATTAGTGGCAAGTGAGCTCCATTTCAGAGGAGTCACATAAGAAACAGTGAACAAATGTGACTTAGAAATGCCAGTTTCATTTAAGAGTACCTTGAATGGTAAAAGGTATGAGCGGGTAGTCGGTTTGATTACACACCCATCTGCTCCCTTTATATAGATTTTCCTGGGTGGCCAAAGTGAGAGCCTGGAGGATGCTGCTGTGAAGCCTTTCAGCAGTGTCCTCTTATCAGAGTAGGTGGCAGAGCATGCCAGCCCCTTGGCGCTGCCTTGGATCTGGGATGGAGCAATTCCTGGCATCACACTGCAAACCTGCTTTCTGGTAGCATCGAGTGCATAGATCAGGCTGGTGTTGGAAAGCCAAGAGAAGTTAAGAACTTGGATGTTGCTTATTTTCTGTTTGACTGGGTGAAAGTATGTGCTTTTTGCAACTGGCATCTTATTTTTGGCATAAGATTGTACTAATGCATGTAGGGATAACTTTCACAAGTTTGTTCAATAGCAAATAATTTGGGAGTAAGAAGGGCAGCTGATTTCTTCCACCAGCCCCCCATTCATTATATGGTGCAATTCAAGCTTGTTACCTCCCCATGTAATCTGCTCATTCTCCCTTGTCAGGAGGCACTCACAGCGCTGTATTTACAGCAAGGGGATTAGGCTGGCAGCTCTCCAGTGCTGCTGAAAACAGCCTCAGTGAGCCCCGTTTCAGCTGAGGTTGTCAGTGCTGATTGATTTTCATGGTTGACAGCATTTGAAATGCTTTCAGATGGTGATTTCTTGCTGAGCCTGATCTGGGGGAGGTATTTTTATTATCATTATTAATAGTAGAAATAGTATTATCTGGATACTTACACAGATAGAGATTATGGGCACAGACTGGCATGAGCAGTTGAGTCAAGCTCCATGTTGACCAGCAGTAATTCCATCACCACCTGCTTTGCAAAAATGTAGCTGGACTGCAGCCCTGCTAGGGCAAGTGAAGATGCACTGTAAGTTTTCATAAACCTTACTAGTTTTGTTATCATTGCTTACCGTTGACGATACTGGAATTTGTTTTTCCCTGTGGGACAATCAACTGTTTTTTGTAACTTCTAAAATACATTTTTTAGTTGTGTGCTCTTAGATGGAACGAAATCCATATCAGTTATCAGCGAGCGTTCTGGCGAGATTTTCACATTTTTGTGCTACTTCTGCTGAACAAAAGATCTGCAGGCTAACAAGTCAGAAGGTGGCTTTGTTCTTGGAAGGCATAGCATTGTTTTCTGCCCATAAGCATTGAATCATTGGGTTTGTCCCTACTTGATTCAGGACTTCATTTGGGAACAACTGTGAATCCAGGTAGTGATGGCCTTTATGCCATTCTCATCCATGCTTGTGGATGAAATGGCACAAGACTTCTAATACTGCCTTGGCCATCTTTGATACTATCTCTCCTTAACATACTGGTTAATTTCTCCATGGAAAGGGGGTTTTGTGTGCTCCCCAGGAATGAGTTTGGGAAGGAATTTCCTTACTCTTTTCATGAGCTTCCAAGAAGTGTACCTTGCTGTGCTCACTGCATTACCTGGAGTGGCAGGAGAGTATGCTCCTGCTGCACACCTGTTTGCACAGCTGGATGAAAGCCACTGTTCTTTGCCTCATCCTTAGCACCTCAACATCTTTTAAGTGTCTGGCTCACAGCTTCAACAAAGAAGCTGTCAGCTTCCATCTCCTGCAAACGTGCTCCGTAGGCATCAGGCCGTCTCAGTGGAGCAACATGCTGGTTTGTACCCTTGTGGGGTACATATACCATTCTGGGGAAGTGTTGCATAGGACAGATGAGCCTGAGCTTCAGAAAGATGTAGAGCTTGTCCTGCATTTCTAACAAATGTGGTGACCCCAATTGTACATAACATCAAAGCTAGAAGTATTTGAATGATGTCTGTAGCTTGTTGCTGTTTGCTCACCCACAGCCCCTCCAGGTGCCACAAGAGCAAAGCACAACCTAGTCTCTTGCCTTGAGTCTAGCTCTTCATCAGTCATCTCTTCAGACACACAGGTGCAGGTTTTTATTTGCCCGTTTTTGCTCAGTCTTTGGAGCAAGTAGGATTTTTTTTTCACTCGTATCACTTGGGATGTCATTTCATACAACAGATGTCTGTCTAGCTCCTTTTTCAGTTACTTGCTGTTATACTGCACTCTGAGCAGTTCCAACTTAAGAGCATATCCAGATGAGTATTTTATAGACTGCAAAGAGAAGCAGCAGCTATCTGCTGAATCCCCTAAACCAGCACCACAGTCCATCTTTTTCCTTGTGTCTTGTTAAAAGAACTACTGATTCAAGTTTAATTTCTGTGTAAGTACAGCACAAGAATAGCACCAAGGTTTATTTTTAACATGGAGCATCTGTCAGTTTTGAGCTATAAAGACAACATATCCTAATGCTTAGAAATTAGCTTTGTTACTGTGAAGAATAACAATGGAAAATACACACAAAAAAGACCCCGAAGGATGTCTGTTAATAACATTGCTCCAACAAACAGTCTGATCTTTGTGGGAAAATACATTACTCATGGAAAGAGGAAATCACAGTGGCTAATGAGAGGAAATTTCTGAGTTGGATCCTTCTGCTCATCTTTGTTCAAAGGGATGCCCTCTTAGCTGGAGAAAAAAGGTCTTTTTAAGTTCAAGGCTAAAGTATGCTACTGTTCATGCAGCCTTTTTTTTTTTTTCCTACAGTGGAAACACTAAGGAAACACTAAGGAAAAATTCCTTATGAACATTAGATTAGGGCTACAGTCTTATATTGTGTACCCTGTAACACCCCAAGAGGCAAACTGATTGATGATAAATCTCTGACCTTACTTCACTTGAGTAGATGTCTCCCATAGTGCCTGCAGACCAAGAACCTGTATCGTAAGTCATTGTATAAATACATA